GGCTTCTGCAGTTTAACCCACAGTGCCACGATGTCCCTTCTATCATAAGAGCTTACAAGGGCAGGAAAATACTTTTAAAACCATCATAAAAACTCAATCAAATTACTCTAGCTAACATATAGAATGTGCAATGTATTATCGTGTCACAAATTAGTTTAGGAGAATTTAAAAAGTCAAATTTCAAAGCTAGAGGGATCCTCATATTAGCAATGAATGACCAGAGCGGTTTGATAATACCGATAAAACCTCTACAAACTACCAATAAAATTTGTTCTAAACTGGAAACTATTATTTGGGGGAAAAAAAGTTTGCATCTAATTTATGTTGATGAATGACATTCTTAAGAATACTATTCATAGTGCCTCTGGCAAAACCAGTATTCACAGTCCTTCCAGGGCAAGAAACAATTCCTTCTATGTGAAAAACTCTCTAAACCCCTTGACTCTTAAGCATGTCAGTTAAAGGTTTGGTGAGTTGTTAAAATTCTGTATGTATCTGCACTTTGTAAAAAAGCCTAAACTGAAAAAGACTGTCCCTTTTAATAATATCTAAAAATTCAACTCAACGGACATTTCTGTCCATGTGGTAGGGTGGTCCTTGGTCCACTGTTTTAAAATAGCAAGATTAGTAGGTATACCACCAATGAGCCTGTTTGGAATTGAAAAGGGGTAAAATATAGAAAATAATTCAAAATAAACCAGTAGCTTTTTTTAAAAAAGCAGATTAAATTTGCTTTAAGCAAATGTAAAGCAAGAAACTGTTTCCCTTCATAAAATGAGAATGGGTAAGAAAATACACATTTTCTAAATTATTATTCATTCTTTTCATTGTAGAGAATATGTTGTTTTCTTTCAAATATTATTACTGTATTTTAAACAAAATATATAGAGCAAAATATATATTTATCCTACATGCCTTATACAATGTAAGTTATTTTTAAAAGCTCCTAAAATAATGCATATGTATTTTTAGAGGATTAGTAATGTTACTCTGCCCTCAAAGGAAGGACCAAAACATCTTGATCACATGGAAAATACTAAATGGGAGGTTAGAGATCAGATTGTATTTATGTCCTGTACATCGCGAGACTTGAAACAGAGACAGAAATATATTCTGCAGAAATCACAGATGTCCCTGAGAATATAGTGACAAGAAAAGAGCTCAATGAGAATCCCAGAGTTTAAAAAAAAGAAAGAAAGAAAAGATCCTAAATAGATCTATTGTATTCCAGTCTGAAACTTTTAAAAAATCCTAAAAACTAAAACACAGCATTGTGTGCACTCTTCTTTTTCATGCTTTTCAGGATAAAACTGTTGGGGACAAGTTATTCAATCAGGACAACGAATGATAGCTCACACAGAAACTTCATGTTGTTTGTTTTTGCTATTGTTTACATAAATAAAATATAAATGCATTTGTGGAAAATAATGACAAGTATTAATCCTATGGTTCATGTCTATCTTTTACATCCAAGCATCAACTGAATATGTATTTGTGTTCTTTAGATAGAATAACAATTTTGAATGGTAATGATAGCAATTGTCTTGCCTCTGAATGTTCTTTTTTCTCTGTAATATTTTCCCAAGGATTATTTTTATATATGCTGCCTTGAGGTCCATGATGGCAGACAAAAAATACATGTACCAAATCAATCAATAAATAGAACGTATAATTTCTGCTATTAAAATCAATTTAGCTTTTCCGTCCAACTGATATAACATAGATTCAAGCAGCAAAGATACATACCATAATAAAGAGTCCAAGGTAACAAAATCAGATGTTAATGTTATTTGCCAAGGATGTAAAGCAGTAAAATATGAATCCTTTTCTGCAGTGGCCTGCAATACCTTAAAAAGTGAGTCTGGTACTTGACAGCTGAGATGTTGCAAATATAAGGAAAGTCATTTTTCCCTGTCACAATATGTGTGTTTGTATATTCCTGGCCAGGTTGTTCTCTCCTTTTAATCCTTTTAATCCTTTTTATCTTTAGTTAACTTTTCCTTTTAATAATTACTATATCCTTCTTCCCAATTTTTTATATTACTGTGATGTTTATGCTCTTATTATTTAATACTACTATTAGTGTTTTATTTTGTTGTAAACACCCAAAGGTGGCCTTAGTAGCCAGATCGACATTATATAAATTAAACAAACAAATAAAATTTCAATTTCTATTCTCCCCTTCCTTTTGAACTAGGTGTAACTCTACAGAGTACATTCCAGAATTTAATTTGACTAGACTTAAGTCTAGGAGATATCTAGTATTAAGTAAGCAAAAGAGACATTTGTAAGCACATACAGAACTGCTTTCCCAACACTCTTATCAATGCCTATAACTTTAAAAGCCTTAATAAATCCGAAATGACCATATCTGATTCACCTGCGGGCTGGTAAGTCCACAACCATATAAATCTAATTAATTCTATGGGTCCTGTTGGGACCTTCATCTGCTTTTAACTTTCTCTGTATCTCATCAAATATTGTAAGATATGCTAATGAATGTATTTTGGCCAATGCATATAGTATTTTTAAATGTGAAGGAAAAACATACATTTGGATATATGACAATATCTACAAGCAGCTGTACGATACTGGAACAGATTCAACTAACTCCCCCAATAGTTTTCACTGACAGGGTATTTTTAAAAAGCATTAAAATACCATGAGGTTGGAAATAGTTACTGGCCTGGCTGATGCAAGATGAAAGGGCTTTCAAAAAGACAGTACATCTGGTACTGCACTTCTTGAGACTCCACCTTCAGTTCATACTGACCCATTTGGAGAACCGCTTCTGTGAATATCTTCTCCAAGCTACAATATGTATGGATGTGACAAACACTAGTGAAATGTATAGTCCTCAGACATTTTCCAAAGCTCACCATGTGCCTGGCTGACTCTTCCTCTTGCATCAGAGAGATTGTCTGGCTTCCCATGAAAACAGGGCACCAGTCTTGTATTCCTTCTTACTATTTTTTCAGTTTTTTCCTGTTTTGTGTAGGGAAGTCCTGAATTCTGCACATCATAATGCTCTCCCCACTGATTCCTGGCAAGAAAGATGCCATTCTTTCCAGGAACTGTAACACTAAAATAGTTTAAATTTGAATACTATAATGAATTTAATCCCATTTTAACATTCATAATATTTCCCTTGTATTTTAAATATCCGTTATTTTAAACTCTTTTGTAAGCCACTTTGAGGCCAGTTGGGGGGAAAGGTGGAATATAAACACAACCAACAAAGGCACAGTTTGGTATTTTACTGCCTCTCCAGAGAATCCTGTGCAGGACAGCTCCCATTCTGTGCAGGCATTAAAACAATCTGTGTAGACTGCTGTTTCTTCTCCCCTTCCTAAATGACCACTGTACAGGAAATGTACCATTCAACATAAAATTGTATTCACCCAGCACAGCTTGGCATTTATTCCAGGAAAAAATGACCAAGAAACTTCAAAAAAATCCCACAAATTTTCTTAGGGGAAAAAGAATTTACAGACAAATCTATCTATAAGGAGAAAAGAGTAATATTTTTCTGAGTTTCTCTCTGAGAGTAACAGGCTATAAGATTCACACTGCTATGGTCAAGACAACCTTAATGTTTACTATTTCATTACATTTTTACATAATATGCACTTATTTCCAATATAACCCATTGAGATACATTTATAATTATTAAGTAACAAAATTTAATTTATCTTCCTTCTTCAATAAGTGACTCAGAAGACAATTTGGAACATTTAAATTGTTGGTTGATATTTTTCTAAGATGAAATGGGGACTGGTATAAATGTGACTTAATGAAATGCTTTATGAAAAAAGAATGAAATGTGGGAATAGCAGGTGGTCAACAGTTAAATTACATAAGTAAGATAGATTACTATGTTAAGCCTTGTATGTACTACAGTACTTGTAACATGATGGATTCTCGTGATTTATATAAATAATAATAAAAAGGAGAGAAAAAATTAAAAAAATTTCCTTCTCCAATTTAAAAAATGAAAAAGGAGTGAATCCATTTCCTCAGATATCCTACTGAAGAAAATATTTAATTACTGAAGTTATAGCTAGATGCCAATATGAATGTGTTTGACATCATTCCAACCAGTAAGGGTGAAATGTGTGAGAATATTTAAAAATAAAAGGTGTCCCTTTAAATCCTATTTGTGCTATTCATCTTATTCCACTAGTCAGATAGAGCAAAATATTTAATTAGTTTGCTCAGATAGAGCAAAAATTTTAAATCTGTTCACTGTGATTGTGTCACCCACTTACAAATCTTGGGAGGCCATAAAGGAGAAAGCCTTCATTGACCGTCAAACTCTTAACTGGTATTTTCAAATGTACTCAGGATTCCTCTCCTTCCTTAACTCAATAGCTCTTCATCACAAGGAACATAATGTGAATGCTCACCCGTACCAGATGTCAGACAACTCTACAAAATAATAGTTTATTTTATATTCCTTACATTTAGTTTGAATAGGATTTAACAAAACTAACAAAAGGACCATTCATGTAAATGCTAACATTCTAAGTAATATATAAACACACACACATATATACATAACTTGGAAGCGAAAACTTTGATCTTTCAAAATAAAATAGTTTCATAATATGCATTTGCTAAAGGAGAAAGCTGTGATTCCCTAAATTCTGGAATTTCCTGCAATATAGTGACCCAATTATACAACTAAAAGAAAGAAGACATATGTAGTGCTTTTCATGCTAGTTATCAAGCAGCAAAAGCCTTGTGCAAACAATAAATGTTTCCACTGCAAATATGTAATTGTTATTGAGAAGTTTACAAACAATGATGGATACAGCATCATTCCATTGTCTGCCTTTCTAGTCGCATGTTCACCACCCATTAACGTGAATTGTGGATTTGGAAGTACTAAGCATAATATTACATTACACAAAGACGCTAGAAGAGTGTATAGTAAATCAGATGAGAGCCAATTTCAAATCTCAGAAACATCTACATTGCCTATTAATTGTGCAACTTACCTTGTTATCTCCTAGTGTTTTTTAATTAGTCAGATAGAAGTCCAAAGCTTCATCATTTTGGAACTGATCACAACAGGACAGAAGCTATAAAAGATAAACACTGAATTAAAGTGGGGATCCATACTGCAAACGTCACGGTAAACAAAATTAAAACTTTCTGCTCTTCTTTTGACAATGATCAGTATCACTTAATGTGTTGCACAAGTTACTCAGACCAGTCTCACTTAACCTGTTAACACATTTTCTACATTAACACATTTCTTACATTAAAGTAAAATAAAAGTCAACATATACAAAGTGTATCAATGTAATGTACTATAGTGCTAGGTTTTATGATGTACAGCCATAAACAATATTTACACTGATAAGAAACGTCTGTGCAGTGGAGATGTAAATTCTTGTTGGTCTCATTCTTGAGACAAGACCAAGGATCTGCAACATTTTTAATTTTTTGGGAAGGATGGCAATGGATTTCCCAGCATTTTTGTTAAAGGCCTCACATTGAAAAAAACAAAACAAAATTATTCACCCAAAAATACCACTTTTGAGTATATTTCCAAAAATCAGAACGACTGTTATTTTACTTAGAAACTGAAAATACTAGAAGGATGGCTTCCATTTTTCTTAACTATCAGCCCATCTTCTCCTTCTTATAGTTTGTGTGTGGTTTGCTTCTCAAAAGAGGAAAGATACTAGAATATTTTATGCAAATTACAGAGCCTGAGGTGGGGAGAGCTCTTTGTCTTACTCTCAGCTAGAGGTGAGGTATTATGCAAATTTCTCTCAGAGGTTTCCTGTCAAGATAGTCTAAACAGATGTGATTGAGGAACTCAGCAAGCATTCTTTCTACTGGCTGTCCCAAATTCATGAAAATTTCTGCACAAAGCAAATCAGCTATCCACGTTTTCAAACTAATACTCTCCATTTGATGTCACAATCCAGCTGTATGTAAACTGCAGTAGCCAAAAGAGCAGATGGCAGAGATATCTTTTTAACTACAAGTATGCAGATATGTGTTTTTGGACTACAACTCCCAGGCCAAACCTGTATGGCTTTACTTTTAGCTAGTTCTCCTAGGCTTTTTAAAATATTCAAGGACATTGTGGAAAGAACAAAAAGCCCACTTCTATTACATGTTCAGATCTGTAGAGTCTTTGTTTTTTATTGCTTACAGAATTTCAGTAAAAAACAAAACTACAGTACTATTTTATAATAAATTAGAGTTCACATCATAATTCTCATTCTCTTACTCTTATCAGAACTAAGTTGTCTGCATTTGACACAGATATTGATAATATCTGGATTTTGTCTTTCATTAGCATTATCTGGGAAATAAAATAAAATAAATAAAATGAAACATGGATAATAAAAGTAAATGTTAAAGTAATCCATTCTACCCAAAGCCAGTTTGGTTCACTATCTGAGTACAGTGTTTGTGCTTGAGCCCCCCCCCCCCGAGTTTACCAATGGACGCAGATATGATAAGTTAGGAAAAAAGTACATTGCTGGCAACTCACACAACTCAAGATATTGTATACATATCTAACATCTGTCCTTTCAAATCTAAAGGATTTTCTGACTTACTTTCTTCATGAATTGCTGTTAAAACTTAACAGTCAAGCCTATCCCCATCAATAAAAGAAAAAATCAGAAACCACTACAGTTAAAACTTACTATAATTAAATAAATTGGATAGCAGAACCCAATCATGTTTCAAAGCTAGAATTATTATTATAAACTATTCAATATATTTAGTAATTTATTTTAGGGTAGAACAAGCATTCTTACTTTACCTGTAGTCTCCCACTGCAAAAAATGTATCCAGTAAAAATGTATTGAGCAAACAATGAAAGACACTAACTCCTTCTCCTTAATTGCTCTTCGAACTGCTAGAAAGGTTATTTTCTTACCTTACCCTACATCTTCTGCAATCTGACAGTGTCATTCAGTCAGTCATTTTAATGTCAGCTACTCTTTTATTATACAGAATACAAGTAACAATGAAACTGTGCTGATCAGCCTGCCTTTAACCCATATAGTTATATTTATACACTTAGGCTTGTATTTGAAACTATATTTATCCACTTTAACTGCCTACTATGCATCTGTTTCTTATATACACAAGCAACACACACACACACACAAATACATAACTATATCTATGGCTTTCACAGCATTTCAGGATCTGCACGAATATACTTCACGGCATGTTTCCAAAAACAGCAACAAGAGTATAATAAAAATAAGAAAATATAAATATGACTGATTAAATGTACATGGCACAAATGTGCACACACATAACTAGGCCCAGCACAGCAATAAAAAAGATTATATAGTCTAAACAAGCCATCACATGCAATATGGGATTTGGAGGTGTTATTCACTGCTGACCCCCAGGCTAATGGTTTTACTTTAAAATTTAGCCTCTGTTTCATTTACATTTTACTGCAAAGCAACAGCTGTTCATTCTTTTAAGGCTATGTTGTAGGGTTACTTTGAATGACCCTCATTGACACAATGCTAGGAATACTGGCATGTTGCCTGAATTACTTTTGCCACATTGTATCATTAGCAGAGCTACAGCAATAAACATGACTACCATTTCTCACAAATTACTCTGCAGTAGCAGTGCTTTTTCTCCAAAGCTTTTTGATACTTTCCCCCTTTGATCTTAAACTTGTCTGAACCCTCAAATGATCTCTTTCATTTACAAGCAAAACATAGGTGGAAATATAAATAGTCTGTTATGGCAAAGTGGTCAGAAATTTTAATCAATCAAGTATATTGAATTAAATCATACATAAAATCTTTATCAATATGAATACCACTCAGTATTAAACAGTTACTGTACTAAAAGACACAAGTTTTAATATTCCACTATTACATGACTATTCGTCTAAAATGTCCATACCAAGACCAAAATCTATACACAACTAAAATAATTATCCTCACCATGCAAGCAGATCCAGTGTGTTATTTAGTTATTAATTACCAGTGTAAAACACTCAGTCACCAGTGTCAGGCCCATGATTCAAGGAGGACACTAATCTTGCTGTGTTTTACTTTTAGGTCTGGACCATCTCACCACATCTAACCAAGCTTCCAAGCTCTAGTTAATGGATTAATTACAGTCTTTCTCATGCAAAAATATAATAGGTTTTCTCGGTGGCTGATAGGGAAATCCTCTGTCCAAAGATTCTAAGGGATTTGGTTCTCCAGTCAAATCTTGTGGAGAACATGGATAGGGCATATAGTTTTCATGCTCCCTTAAGTCTTCAAAGCTCTAATTTAATATTCTCGTTAGATCCCAGAGAATCCAGATTTTACCAAAAACAGGACTGCAGATGTTCACCCCATATAATTTCATAGATATATCTGGAACTAAGATTGAAAAAAGTGCTATGCGATTGCTTTTCAGCTCTCATGCTTTCCAAGTTTATATATCAAGATCTGTCAAGGGATGTGTAAAATATATTTATACAGTCTTTTTCAATTATAGGGTATTTACTTTCCATTAGTACACAGTAATTGTTTAAAAAAACTCAGGTAAGGACTTGTCCACTGCATATTTAATATACTTAATTTTAAACTTTAATTTTTCCATATTTTTCTCTTTTCCTAGTGTTCTTTCTTTTATGTTTGGATAGCATTGTTGACACTTTCAGAGAATGTTTTCAGGTTGTCTGAATCACCTTCTGACCAATATCTATGGCAGTTCTGTGCACCCTTCAGAGGAAATCCCAGAGAACTTAGTGGGATGCCATTTTGAGTAAATACGCACAAGAGTTAGTAGAAATGCTAAATATTGCCAATTATGTATTTCAGACTATATTCCATTACACTGCCCCCTCTCTAGCTAACATCTGTTATGACTAAAATTCACATAAACCAATGAAACATAATTGTAAATGTAAATCCCATTGCTTTATATGGAATCTATATAATCAAGTTCAACTGAATTGTAATCACTGTGTAAAATAAGTTTACGGCAGCTACATACAACACAAAGAAAACTACATATAAAAATCTGACAATACTTGGATTCTGATCTGCACTAATTCTGAACGGAGAAAGCAAATTGCGTATTGTTTGGAAAACTCAGTCTTAAAACAACAACCAGAAGAGATGAGATGCTGTAATTCACCATATGAACCTCATCCAAAAGGAACAGAGTGTCTGAAATCACAAATACTATTAATTAATAGTGATTAGAGGACATTGGCAAACAGATTATACCCAGGGTAGAGTAACATAATTAAAAAGTGTTATTTGGGTACAGGCACCTCAAGAAATCTTATATTAATATTCTCAATTATTTTAAAAGTCTCTGTAATAGAAATACAATCTAAAGTTTGATAAAATACTCAGTGGCACCCCTTTTAATTTGTTTTAGAAAATATATGATCCAAACTGAAGGAAAAAAAATACTAATTCTCAATAAATTTGGCAGGAATAATAAATCAGAAACAATATTTCTTCAAGAATTCTAATATGCTAGTGCACAAATACCTTTAGCTTTTCATATGTTTCAAGCAGCTTATTTTCATGTCTAGAAAACACCTGTTCCTTTTAAATTAATTTGTATATTTTCCACATTCCATATACTTCTATTTACATAAATTCTAGGCTACTCAAAGAACAGTCTTATGTAGATTTCACTCAGAAATAAGTCCCAATAATTTCAGTGGTGATTATTCTTAAATTACGAATAGGATGCCAGATTTAAGAATATGCTCAGGCATTCCTAAGCAGGTTTGCTCCTGAACCTGCTTAGCAATGAAATGTACATGTTTGTCAAAAGAAACAATAGACAACAATAAACTATACTAAAAAGATCAATTCCACCCTTCTATTAAGAGTGAACAAATACAGTTTTCACTATGCTGAATAAAGAGTAGCACTGGATTCATTACCAACAATAGACAGGTTTCTAAGCTCTCAGACAAATAATACCTAAGTCATATCAAGACCCTGGTTGACCCTATGCAATATTACATGCAAAACACAGGATGTCAGCATTTGGTTACCCATCTGGAGATTTCTCCCTCAAAAGCTAAAAAAACAAAACCTCTTCCTATTTTACC